TACAAAGGGAAAATATAGAGATATTAATCCTCAGAAAAATTAGGTGGTTATGATATGGTTTTGTTAATAAAACATAAATTCAACACTGTACTTACATTTAATGATGACACTGATCGGTTCTGTTGCAGCAGATTTGAATGTCCGTGTGGACACTGTGACCTCGTACACACAGCTGTAGTTGCCCTGATGTTCATACTCAGCTACAGGGAAACTAAAGGAGGCTGAGTTGTTGACTGCTGGCTCTGTGAGGTTGGAGCCAGAGAAGCTGAGAATAAAATGTCCACTGGAAAATGTGGAGTTAATGGAACAGGTGAGGATGAAGCTGTAACCCCTGGTGATTTGTGCACCTTCAGGACCCCAGATAAGTCCTGCATTAGGAGACGTCAAGGAGATGCTGGGCCTCTGCAGTCTCACTGTGTGAAAGCAAACTGGGATTAAAACATATTATTCTCTCTACCTTTTAATTCTGGACTTGTTTAAACTCTAGAATCAAAAGCAGAAGGAAGGATTTTTGGGGGGCACTTAAGGGAAGCTGAATCAAACTCAACACATTTTATCACTTACTAACTTATTAGTATTTGGTGTTATTTTTCACACATTCAGCAGTTATTGAGCAACATTAGAAGTTTCTTGCTACATGGTAAATGAAAGTCCATGCTTATCTGCCAAGAAAAATGGCAGATTAGCTTGAGTAAAAGACCAAAAGCTGAGGCACACAACGAAGAATGCTGTTGGTAAAGTTTCTGGGCTGCCTTTCCTCATAACAGCCATCCCTCAAGATTTTCTCCATTTAGAGCAATGTATTATCAGGAATTGTAACATCTAGTCCTTTTACTGTATATTTTAGCCCTCAACGTAGCATTTAGCTCTTTAGCTGCTCAATGCTCCATGGTATGTAATAGTTTGTTTCAAGTAGTGTGTGTTTACTCCTCAGTACTGTTGGCTTTGAGAGCATTTTCTCTGGATACTGAAAAATCCACAATGAAAGTGGGATTCTGTTCATAATGCTTTTATATTTTGCTTTTGTTAGTGCTTTCTTTTTTTGTAAATAGCCATTAAAAAGGTTTAAGCTATGACTACAACATATAATAAATAAGCTAACACTATAAGTTTTTCACAATTTATGAAACAACTTATTATCTGTATTAAAAATGATAATTTCTCGTTTTGTTTGAAAAAAATGCTTCTTACATGTATTTGCTTTATTACCTGTCACAGAGAGCCTACCAGAGTCACTTGGTGGGGAGTTAAATTCAAGACCTGAGCCCATTTTCTGATACTGACACTGGTACGATCCCTCGTTATCAAAGTTCACTTTAAGGATATTGAATGTTGCAGAGTTTGTACTAGAAGTTTGGGTCCTTATAAATGAATCTGATGTTTTCTTCAGAATGAACGATCCACCCAAAACCTGAGTGGAGATTGAACAAGTGATTGCAATGTTCCGACCCCAGGTGACCTCACCAACAGGATTTATGGTGATACGGGGTTTTGGGAAAATCACTGAAAAAACAAACAAAACAAATTAACAAACAAAAAAACAGGATAATACTGATTGATATGTTGCTGGTTTAATGACACTTTTAGCTTTTGATTCTTGGAGCTCTCGAGCTCAGGAAATTGTTTGTTTTCTTACCATTAACAGAGAGTCTGACAGCATCACTGAGGGAGGATGAAAACTTTTGCGCTGAAATGGTTTTCTGATACTGACACTGGTACGAGCCGTTATGATCTAAGTCCACTTTGTGCATACTGAAGGTAGCAGATGTGGAACTTGAGGATGCAGTCTGGCTGAAAGTGCCTGAGGTCTTCTTGAGGAGGAAAGTTCCACCAAAGAACTCGGATAAGATCGAACAAGTAATGGTGACATCTTCACCCCAGGCAACCTTATCTCTGTTCAGAGAGATCCTGGGCTTTGAAAGGCTCACTGAAAAACACAGTTTAGCATAATGTTAGTTTAGATAAATATAAGTTTATGCGTTTAAATAGCAAATCTTTGTAACTTTTTAATTTTACAACCCACTACCACCCCAGCTCTTCCCCATCCCCCCATCCTCCATCTGACTTAATTTCATGTCTGTTAGCAGTAATAGTTCTGTACAGAACATGCCCCACTCTCCCTTCCTTTGTCATTGCTAACTACCTTTTCTACTAAATACCAGGGGTAGCTGTAGCTCAAGAGGTAGAGCAGGCCATCTCCTAACTGGAAGGTTGGTAGTTTGATTAGTGGCTGCTCGAGTCTCCAATCTGCATGCCTTTTTTTTGGCAAGATAGCAAACACCAAGTTCTTCTCTAAACCATTTCTCATTGTGTGAATCAGTGAATGAGGCATGCTGTATAAAGCACTTTGAGTGTTCAAGTAGAGTAGAAAATCACTATATAAAAGTCAGTCCATTTAGCTGCCAGGCCATTTCCAAGCTTAAATGAGGCCTTCTCCAAACAGCTGGTCTGTACCCTGGCCCACATAAAATGATGGTTTTCATTCATATTTGGAGTTGCGGTCCTTGCTGCTGAACCATAGTTGGAAATAACAGCAGTTATTTGACTACTGTATCCCTGAATGAAAAGAAATTGAGACACTGTATTATGTGTTGAAGCTTCGTTGTAAGCTGCATTTAGTTGTACTGCTAAATTCCCCACTTATCACACAAATCTAACTTTTTTTTAATGACATCCATCCTTGAAGTGAATTGTAGGTCACATGAACTTTTTTCTTAAATAAAAATAATGAATAAAATGACTGTTTTGCTTTTGGTGTTCTATGTTTTTTTGAAGTGATCATTCATTAGAAAAAACACTGCAGCTCATCATTGATGATTACTACTATAGATTTCTTAGAGATGCTACTTTGCATGGACTGAAACAGTACTGTAAGAGTAGCAGCAGGATTTCATGGTCACCAGGGAGACCAGCAAAATCTTTTTTTTTTTTTTTTTAAATTAAGAAAACAAAACAAAAGCAGTTTCTATCCATGTAACTTACCCATAAGGCATTCATGGCATGTCAAAAAAAATATCTTGCTCCCACCCACCCCCTTCATTTCTGTGTGAATGTGCTTGACTGATCATGCTTATCTGTCTGAGTTCCATTTTTTGGCTTGCTTTGTTTTCTTTTTCTTTTCAGCCTATGAAGTGTTGATCACGGGAATGAGATCATAAATACTGAGGATGTATAAGTCTTACATAATTTAACTTACATTTAGGTAAGTACTGTAGGGTTGGAATGGCTGGTTTGAGTAACATTTGATTTCAGAACCTTGTTAGTTGTCTGGAATCATGACTTTCTGTGTGTGCAGCCAGGCAACAAGAAACACATGAAAAACATGAAGTGTTTGTTTCACCCAGTGTCAGCTAAACACTGTACAGACACTTGTGACAAGTGTTCAATGCAGGGTGTCAAACTCATTTTACATCGTGGGACACGTACAGACCACTTTGATCTTAAGCGGGTTGGACCAAACTCTGCTTTCTGTCACTGTGTAAAGAAGTTACATATTAAACAGTTTTAAAAAGTTGTGACAAAGAAAGAAAATCTGTCGGCATGACTCTTTGAAGAGTCTTTATAAGAACTTTTCCTATTTTCACAAATCAAAATCTGTTTACCTGCTCGTTTATCATTTGCTGTTTGCTGGTTGTTGAAATGGTTTTGTAAACTTTTAGCTGAGATTCTGATGTTTCTGTGGATGCTACACGTTTATATATTTAACAGATCTGGCGGTACATCCTGTTAAACCAGACGTTCTCCCTTTCACTTTTGATACTGGGGGCATTGGGGTTCAATGGATTAATTGTTTATTGCTTAATTACTTTGTGGCCATAAGGAAGATTTTTATCAGTAGGAAAAGCTGTAAAACTATGAAAATATAGTTAAAAGTCCAAAATTTATGCTTGTTTGTGGTGAGCAGCAGATGAAACAAGTTAAGAACTATAAATTAGTTTTCTAGTCTGTCTTTGCATGTGGCCAAATGGTGTGCCCATCAAAATAAAGTTGCTTGCATGAATTCTCTGCAGGGCTGAAGATTCGCCTCCCACGGGCCATTAATACCTGACAAATAACGTAATGGCAAGAAAATGCATTTATCATTTTATAATTATCATTTTTGCATTAAAAAAATCTTTGTGCTATAAAAATATCATAATCCAAAACAAATTGAATAACACGATGTTGTCATGCTGACATCAGCACTAATAATCAGTATATATTGCTGATGTCCTTGATCTTCTAATAGAAACAGGCTAATGTCATCACATTGTAATACAAACAGGATGTTATTAGCATGTTCTCATGGGAACATCTTAAAACACTAAAACAGGTTTTCGTATCGTTCTTGTCCTTCTGAGGAGTTGTGGTCTCTGCGTGCTCTTGTTTCTCAGTGATTTCTTTCCTCGTGGTGCATCTTCTCTTAGGTTTTCCACCTCCAAAAATCACTTTAACCTCTTTGTTCAAGTTAGAGCTAATTCAAGCGAATTAGTTCAGTTGATAAGCACCGCTGTTAATGTGTTTTCTAAATACAAATAACTGAACAGGCATGCGGTCCATAGCAGGAAACCAAGAGGGAAGTTGCTGCATGAAGATTACTGAGAAAAAAACAGCACCATACTGCAACTATAAATATCAAGTATCATGGGTATAAGACCATGTGGTACCGTATTTGGGCATAGATGCTCTATATCAAAGAAAGGAAACTGACATTGATAAAGATATCTTCAGCCATTTTGACACAAGCACCGATTTTTTTTTAAAACTTGTCTCATCACACACGCATGAAAACACAAATATCTGACACAGAGATCAGAACTTAGAGAGGGCATGAAGTTGAAGTTATTGCTGCCAAAGGAGAAACAGCTGGTTATTTTAAACCACGATTGTGTTTACTGTTCACCACCACTCAGAACGCTTAATGGGTGTGCTTAATAAAGAAAGAATTCAAAATGTATTGTTTATTATTTTTGGCACATTTTTATCTATGTTTCAATAAGAGTATAACAAACACTTCTCACCTGAACAGATGACACCAGCATCTTCACCATGTCCACAGTTGTGCATCCCAAATCCTCTGTGCTGGCAATCACTTAGGGAACTTTCACTTCCTGAACAGCTCACGTCATCGAGCAAGATTTTTCCAGCTCCTTGACCAAAAGAAGCAGACCTAGTGGCATACAGGCCTGTTCCACAGTCTAACTGTCGGCAGACCACTTCAGCATCAATTAAGTCCCAGTCATCATCACACACCGTTCCCCAGTTACCACTGTGGTAGATTTCAACTCTTCCAGAGCACTGAGTGGACCCAGCTAATCTGATCTGAGAACCTAGTCACAGAAAACAGACAATTACTACTACTTGTCATTTGTTCATGACAGGGATTGGCTTTACTACATTTGGCAGAAGTAGTGATGTGATGAAAGTAACTGAAAAAGTCTCGTTCAGGGTTTCAAATTTTGTTTTTATATTTCATCTTTACTGTCAAAACCTTAAACAGCACCAAGTCCGCAGCTGTGAGAGCAAAATCTAAAACTGTGGGGAGCAGGTTATGTTTTAGTTTAAAATCAGTTGGAAGTGTTACATTTTAACTGATTCTTTTATTTACAGCAGGCTCAATATAGATGCTCTGCTGGACGTGAAATACTTTGAGAGAAATAAGACAAAGATAAATGAAGTTATAAATAGATAAACATTCTTGAAAAATCTGCCCTAAAGTGACTGGGACAAAATGAAATTTAAACAAACTGATGCAGAAAAGCATTCAGGTTGCAGGTGGAATCAGAAACTTCTGTTAATGTAATTATTACTGAAGAGACTTGTGTCTCAGAGAAGAAGAAAATCTCCAGGAAAGATATGCTTTTACATTTTTATTGGGAAATATAATTTACTAGTAAAAGTTTTGTCCAATAAAGAAAGTGTAGTAAAAACAATATAATATACTAATTACATTATTTATTAACGGAAAATAATAATCACTTCACCACTTTTAACAACTTTTATTATGAACTGATATCATGATAGAATTTAACTGAAAGTTTGCTCACCTGAACAGACAACACCAGCATCTTCACCATGGTTACAGTCCTGTGTCCCAAATCCTCTGTGTCGACACTCAGAAAGAGAACTTTCACTTCCTGAACAGCCCACATTATCAAGCCAGATTTTTCCACTTCCTTGACCAAAGTGAGCAGACTGAGTGGCCTTCACTGCTTTCCGACAGCCCAGCTGTCTACAGACCACCTTAGCATCATTTAAGTCCCAGTCATCGTCACAGACTGTTCCCCAGGAGCCACTGTGATAAACTTCAACCCTTCCAGAGCACTGAGTGGACCCAGACCCAGCTAGTCTGATCTGACCTATCAGCACATAATATAAACTATATTTAATATTTTCCTAAAGTTGAAAAGAATTTTAAAAAATTCACACACAAGAGCAGACTGACCTGCAGCAGGTGAAGTGAAGGCCAAGAGGCAAGAAACTTTTGAAGGGAACAAAATGACATTGCTTATTGTGGAAACTAAGCAAATACATCTGTAGTCATTTATCTAAAGTGATCAATATTTGCACTGAAAGCTAAACCTCAAAGACCAAAACTGTCTGTCTACAAAAGCATTATAAAAGTATTTCTTACCGAAGGTCAAAAACTGAAGCACTCTCTGCTGTCTGCACCCCATGACTGAAAAAAAAGGCTGATCGTGTCATTTATGGGAGCCAGATGACAGTAAAGTCAACAAAAAACGACAGTGTACAAAAAACACTTCACATTTGGTTTATCCTCCCAAAACACTTCCTCTTTCGTTTTGATTTTATTTTTTTTTTAAATTCATCCACGGGGCTTTGACACGAGCAGCTCTAAAGACTGGAGCTCACCACATCATTAAAAAAAATCAGTTTTTTTAAATAAAAATAAAACTGCTCAGTAATCTAGTGACTCTCGGATATTACGTATTGATTCATTATAAGCAAATTTGCACCAACCCTACAATCATCGACAGAAACACACACACTGTCTCCATCTGGTGATTAAAAAGTAATATTGACACAGATGATACATTCTTGAGGTTAAGCGCTCATAATTTTAAGCACTCCTACATTAGCCTAAAAAGTATTAGCAAGGACTCACAGTTTAACATTTGGGAAGATGATCTGAATGAGAACTGAAATCAATCCTTTTATAGTGGCAGTGGTAAGAAATGCAACCAGAGAATTGTCTCTGTTTCAACAGTTTTAAATCTTAACTAATTTCATGAATGTTTCTGAGGACTAAATTGGAAGTCACATTTTAAACTATAAAATCTTTAAAATATGGGCCTAAAATCGATGATCTGAAGCATTAAAGTGACACAAATATGCACCAAAAAAAGCACAAGAAGAGAAATCATGAAGGAGGAAAATTGCTTTTCGCAGCAGTGTGTGTGAGATACACCAACAAAAACACAGGGTCACACAGAATAAACTCATCCAAGATTTTTAGGAGATACACCCATGCCATCAATTTGAACAATCTACTGTGCTC